TTACACAGGTTGAGAACCACTGATCTAAACAGACCTTGCTCTTTCATAGAAGGTCCACTTCTACATATGCTTGCATATAAATAATAATTCTAAGATATTCGAATAATTATTAATAGTAAGATATTTACACAACACAGCAGCACATCTGTGGCATATGTAAAATAAACAGTATGTTACCACACCACTCGCCATTACACAGTGTGCTAATGGTGACATTTTCGTGGATTCAACAATTTTCTCTGACTTGTTTTTTTCTCTCTAGGTTTAGAAATATAGTGAATCTTGGACCTGACTGTATTTTACAACAGTAAACAGCTGCAATCAATTAAATTGGAAAAGCACAATTAATGCATCAAATACATACAATGAATAAGCCTAAATCCCACAAACTCTCTGCCAAAAACAAGCTTATTATGTTTATTGGGACTCGAGAGGCAAGATTTCCTTCCTAGAGTATCTGGCAGTTATCCCACCAGTCGCAAGGTTCCACTCTGCTGCAATCTCTTTAAAAAACATAGGTAACGCAATATAAATGAACAAAAAAACAAACAGTAGGGAGCGTAACAACCCACTGTAAAGGGTGCAAAAGGTGAACGGAGACAGAAAGTCAGTTGCACAGATTTCACCACCAAAACCCCCAGAAGACAGTGATCGATTCAACGCGCCATTCATATATATATATGATACGGAAATTTTATTGAAAGTTAACTTATGACAAGACTTTTGACATTTAAATACTTTCATATTCTTAACAAGTAGTAAAAGAGTTTTAAAACAAGCCACCACTGACTTCTGTGACTGAAAGCACTATGGTGCAATTCATTCTCAAGGTTTATACCAGAAGCACTAACATTCTTGCCTAAGCAGCTCAGTTCAACCAGTTCCAGCTCTCAGAAGTGACTCCAGCCTTCTAATCTCTAATGTACAATTAAATACTGTAATTGTAATACAAGTAAATACTGAGCAGGTGCACAGGGAGAGGAAGGAGGGGGCTGGGCTGCTAAAAAAAGAACTGCTGCATTTCTGCTGTGAACTTTGAGGATATATTACATTACAGCATCTACAATTGCATCTACAGAGGTCAGTGAGAATTTGTTATCATTTACTGCTTGTTATGAATATAAAATGTTTAAATGTCCATAGCCTGGTCACAGGCTCACATTAAGGTCAATCTATTGTATTACAGGTGTTAAAATGAGTCATTGTAAACCGAGACATTGACTGAATGAGGCATACTGACATTCAAACATATCATACAAGAGCATTTGACTGTCCTGCTCATATAATATATGAGCATGGGTATAATATCCCATTTTTCAATCCATGTAAGCCAGTCAGGCACTCAAACACCAATTGAGCAGAGAAAAAATGATGTAAAGGAAAGTGAAACATTGGTATCTTCTCTACAGAGCAGACACCAAGCTAACGAAGGGAAGCAACAGTCATGGGTGGGCCCCTCGGTCTCCTGGACCAAGAAATAGTTGCTCCCCCTAGACCCTCTATAGTTAAGCCCTAGTTAGGGAATGAGAGCTACAGAAAAGGTGTGGAGAAATGATCAGAAATAAGCCTTATGCTTGTAAAATGGACTGTCCTGTCCACTGTAGTCTTCCATTTTTCCCTTTCCACAAGTTTTATACAAGAAGCCTATTCTATTTCATTATCTCCTTGCATTACCATCAAAATTCTATGATGATTCTATGACATCACTAGACATTCAAAGGAAACCTGTCCTGACAGTAATTCGTAGGTAGCCATTGTTGACCACCTTCTGAGAATGCTAGTTGCCTGACTACCCCGTGATTCTCCAGCTCCAATATCCAATCCTGGTCAGAATCATTAGCCAGAAAAAATAGGCCACAATGAAAACCATCACTCCTGATCTGCATACTAGTTCTGAGTCAGTGGCTCAGAAAATATGATTGCCAACTAATCAGTATGACAGCCAAGTAGCTGGCATTCCCTGAAGACAACAAAACCAACCCATGTATTTGTCTTATGAGGACAGTTCATGCATTGGGAATGCAGACCTGGTATAAGTATGGGAAGACATGAGTCTATACTACCTTCAAAGTATTGCAAACAATATATCACATGCACATGGAGCACAATCATGAGAAAAATTAGCGAGTATTTTATATTTCTGAGAGATCTTCAAATTTAGACAAAAAATAAGAAAATGTCTCTGTCTTGCATACTGAATGTTCAAATTTCATTTTTTTGTTCTTGTAGAAAAAAGATACACACAAACACGCACACCATACAGTAGCTGGGTGGAGTAGGAGTGAGCTTGGAGCAGTGGCTACTTTACAACACACACAGGGACAATAGGGAACAAAAGTAGCCACCCTCCAGTAGGAAGGGCAGTGTCAGCATGAATTCAGAGATGATTTGAGGATCTGCAGCTGAGTGATACACAAATAAGATACATTTATGTTAATAGTTAAGGTAATTGAATGGATTTTTAAGATTTAATTCCTGAGTTTATTGTCACTTTGATGGGCACAGCAGACTTATTCAATACATCCTTTACTAAATGGTACACAGAGGCATGCTGGCTAAAGACAGGCAAAGCTCTTGGTGAAAATGATAAAAAAAAACAAGGCTTACATAAAGCATGTATGTCTAACTCAAATGAAATAAAATGCTCAACTGGATAGGATAGATTAGTAAATGGCCACATTAGGTCTAGTAATAGCTGTGTTTATTGAATGGCAAATACTACAAAACCATTAAGAGATCATTACATCAATTATTAACTACGTGTTAAGATCTTTAAAAAAAATATTTATTAAGTGAATGTGTTAACTAGGTTAGAGTACTGTAACGTAACCATTATAAAAGTACATAGCTGAAAAATAATGCAATGAAGAGTATGAAAGTTTGGCATAATTTCATTTAATTACTTGAAAAGCCTCAGCTCCTCAAGGACAGGCATGTCACTCTCACACCAACTTGACATTCCTGATCTAAGCAAAGCATTTTTGACAGATGTGGGGAATAACTTCCTTTTCCATAGGGGAAATGATGCAATCTTTATTCTGGCCATACATGCTGGTTTTTACTAGCAACTGCAAACATACAGACTGTTGGTTTTATGTTGCTTTGTTGCATTAGGTTTGATTTGCTAAGGGAGTAGGGGCTGTTCTCTCTAATGTTCACTTTGCAAAGTGTATGTTCACTTAGCTTGGTAAGGGGAAGCTTTGTTGGCTTTCCTTAACCAGCCATTTTCCAGGGAAATTAATAAAACAGGATTGCTTACACATGATTGGATTCCTTTAGTAAATTAGTAATTAATGCTTATGCTATCCTTGCTGTTTTCCTTTCAAAAACACTAGTTGCATGCCTGCCATGATGCCTCTGGCTTCAATACTTTGATTTACTGACTTCCACAAGAATGTAGTCAGTAAGGGCTAATTCCCATGGATGCCTGAATTTGCAGCACCCAGAAACCCCAGCTGCTGCAGTTTTGTGTCCACAGGATTGTATTTCTTATTTTACTATTTATTTATTACAGGTATTTATATAACGCTGACAATTTACGCAGCGCTTTACATAGTTGCACATTCATATCAGTCCGTGACCTCGAGGGATTTACAATCTAAGGTATCTATCTCACATGCATACATACAGGGCCAATTTAGAAAGGAGCCAATTAACCTTCTAGCATGTCTTTGGAGTGTGGGAGGAAACTGAAATATCTGGGGGAAACCAACACAAGCCCAGAGAGAAAATGCAAACTCCATGCACATAGTGTACTGACCGGCATTATGGACACAATAAGCTGTACCCAGGTAAACTCAAATACCGTCATTTGCACAAATGCATTGGCGTTAGTTCCCAAATATTGAAGTTTTGCATTCGGGAACATATGTCTATATGCGTATGTGTGTAAACACTGGTACTTGCACTTGCACTTACACGCGTATACCCATGTATAGCATGTTGTATCAATACAATCCTTTGACATAGAGCCATTGACCTACAGCCATCCTTTGACCTACAGCCATTAACTGCTTCCAGGCTTGTTCTAATAGAGATGTGAACCGCTTATTGAGAAGAAAAGGTAGTGTATGGCCAGAAAAATGTAAACTCTATAAATATATGTCCTGCTGCACTCCTTACTGGATATCCCCTCATTTTTTAGCCCGATGAAGGGGACCCTGCTCAGCCCTGAAGCGTTGTGCTTGATGAGTGACAATATGCGTCAATAAAAACAGACGTTTCTTTGAACACTTTACCACGGTATGCTGGTGACATTATGTTCGTGCATACAATCATTTGGACACAAAAACGCAGCAGCTGGGGCTCTTGGGCCCGAAATACAGGTGTATTTATGCTGCATGCCCGTACAGCCTTATTTGCATCTGTGGTAATGAGCCAAACCAGAGTCAAATAAAACTTACAGGGCTATTCACTAAAAGAGAGTTTGTGAAGGCAGGAGAAGTGAACAGTTTGGAGAAGGCAGGAGAAGTGAACAATCTAGGACAACATAGCTGAACTGGAAAGTGAGCTGAATTGGAGAATTTTTCCAAATCAGCGATGTTGTCCTAGATTGCTCACTTCTCCTGCCTTCTCCAAACGCTTCTTCCTTTTGTGAATAACCCTGATTGAGTTTTTGTCTGCAAACTTGTTCTGAGTCAATGATGCAAAGCATTAAAATAAAAGGATCACCCTGACTGCCACCACAGCCAGACAACTAGCACTGTCATAAAAAAAAGAGCCAAAACCTTTCCATCAACAGCATTTGCATCAGTTTTCTAAGATGCTTCCAGAGAATTGCAACCTATATTACAGTCATTAACTGCTTTCAGGCTTGTTCTAATGGAGAAGTGAACCACTTTTAGAGAAGAAAAGGCAGTGTATGGCCAGGAAAATGTAAACTCTATAGATGGTGTAGGTGCTAAACACTGAGCGAGACCTTTGTGACTCAAGAGAACAACAGGTCATTCAACAGGTTTAGCAGCAGTTTGCAAGTCTTGTAGTATAAAGGCAGAACTCACCCTGGCGGCTCTGGAAGAATACGGATCTTCAAATAAAGCCCACATGCGAGGTCGCAGCCTTCTCCATCGGCAAACCTTTCCATCAGCACCAACCACGTCCTCTATCCCTAGCCTCTTCCCCGGGTCTTCTTCATCCTCATCTATAGGCGATGGCTCCCCAGAGATCAAGTCCGGATTCTCAAAGATGTCCAAGGCTTCTTCGGCATCCCTATGCTGGCGGTAGGTCATCCAGCAACAGGGTTCCACATCCGTCTCATCGATCCCCCAAAAGGCCAGCTCCTCCTCGAAGAGGGGTCCGCACACGTCCGCCGGGCAGTGTAACTTGCCAGTGCGGTAATAGTTAAGGACATAGGCGAAGACCCCTGGGTGCCTGTCAAAGAAGAACTCATTGCCCCGGCAGCCGCTCTGGAAGGGTCCCGGGAGTTGCTGCTGCTCCAGCGCAGGGTCGCTGTTCGATTCGCATGCCAGTAGTGCCAGTCGGGTCCCCGGCACGGTCTTTAGGGTACTCCGGTATGTCTCGTGTCTCGTACCCCCTACGTTGAGGATTATCCTCTCGTTCTCATCCATCCTACCCATATCTCTGGATCCGACATGACTCGCATGGGTGGCAGGTCATAGCAGCCCAGCTCCTGAGGTCACAGAAAGGAAAAGGGAGGAAATGCAAAAGTCAGCCACAGTGACAACTGACAGCTCTCTGTCTGTCTGTCTATGAGCTCAGATGACATCCCATCATGTCAGAACCCCAATAAACTTCTTGCTGCCTAGATAGAAGTTCTCCAGCCACCTCCTACCTGTCACTCAGCACCCCGCCTACTAATCACGAGCAGTCTCAAGTCACATGAAATGAATATGATCAGTCACCTTCCTTTGTCCCTATGCACGGGGCTTGCTCAGACTAGACGAATGCCAATTTATAAGCACCGATTAGGCTGATCGTTACACTCCCCGGAGAGATCCTCGCAGCCATGGTGCTGGCAGGATGTGTCTATTCATACATGCATGTCATCCACAGCATAGCATCTCTCCTCCATACATCACACAGAGCCCAGCGTACCTCAAACACATCCCGAATAAAGTGGCTTTTTTGATATTTTCCCCGGGAAGATCAAAGGCGAGGAGGTATCTTCAAGTGCAAACTACTTGTTTTTGTTTTTTTGTGTGTTTTGTTGCTCCAACTCCTAGAGAGAATAGTGTTCGTGGCTTCAGTCCGTTCTATGGAGCATCTTCTTCCTCGCCTTTAACTATGTCATGCTCACAACAGGCGGTAGCCATTAAATACCGAGAGCACAAACAAAGAATCCTCCAGCTCGTAGAAGGATGAGAAAACCTTGTCATCTCAGCCTTGGTCAGGGTGTAGCTCAGAAGAAAACCGAGGTGGCTCCTAAAGGTTGGAGGTGCCGCTTGCTGTCTCCTTGGAGAAGAAGGAGCTGTCCTTTCAGCACCAACTCATATCACAGTCTGCACACACCCTCCACTGGTAACATCCTTCGCCCCCTCATGAAACACTCATCCGCTCTATTTTAAAATCCACACATGTTTTGTTTTTTTTATGTCTTGCCTATATCATCTTCTTCCTTCACAAAAGTGATCCTTGGTTTCCTCCTTCAACAGTTAGGGATGGAGTTTTATCTGAGATACAGGCAAACCGTCACCTAGTTACAGGTGAAATCCGTGCCCAGACTCACTGCAGCTTTTTCTGTTGAGGATACCTAGCAACCTGGGGTTTGCATTCATACTCTGCTATTACTAAGGCTTCTGGTGGTTAACAGCCTTGTCAAGGACTATGAAGGTTTGAAGGGTTTGCCTCACCATATTGGAATGTCCTCTTAATCACCATCACAACCTCTGCAAGTGTGAGATTAAACAATAGCTGATAGATAGGGGACATCCAGTGTAGACATGTAAGCTGCAGAAAAATTTGGTACTGATATTTCGTTATTTCGGACGAAATCCGAATTTTCGTTAGTTTTGGATGAGTTTACGAATATTCGTTGCGAATACCACAGAAAAATGAAGATATTAATACTAAAACTGAATCTCCTAGACCTGAATTGCATTCGGGATCCGAATTTCCGAATTGCATTCGTGAGCTCCCAAATGCCATTCGGGTCTGGGAGCCATATACATATATCACTAAAGCTGAGGCTCCCCAATGCAATTTGGGAGTTTGGATCCCGAATGCCATTCGGGTCTGGGAGCCATATACATATATTACTAAAGCTGAGGCTGCTAGACCCGAATGGCATTCAGGAGCTCCCCAATGCAATTTGGGAGTTTGGATCCCGAATACCATTTGGGTCTGGGAGCCATATACATATATTACTAAAGCTGAGGCTCCTAGACCCAAATGGCGTTCAGGAGCTCCACAATGCAATTTGGGAGTTTGGATCCCGAATTCCATTCAGGGTCTGGGAGCCATATACATATATTACTAAAGCTGAGGCTCCCAGACCCAAAAGGCGTTTGGGAGCTCCCCGAATGCAATTCGGAAATTTGGATCCCGAATACCATTCGGGTCTAGGAGTCTCAGCTTTAGTATTATATGTATATACTGTATATGGCTCCCATGTTGCTGTAATGAAAATTAGTGTTCAGACTCATTCAGATGCATTAAACCGAAAACACATCTGATTGGGCAGAACAGTCACATGTCCGATTCAGTTTAGTTTTTGAACGAAATTCGAACGGGATCCGAAATTCGTAAACAGAAATTCAGATTCGGACACATTCAGATGCATTGGGATTCAGAAATTCAGATGTGTCCGAATTTTGGAAAATTTGCTCGGATTTTAACCACTTGCCGTCCGCCCGTTGTAAAAAAACGGACGGACGGCACTGCAGCATGTCTCCAGGAGGAGGAGGACATCAGCGCTGAATACTGAAAAATGGCCTGGATGGGAAGGGGGTTTAACACCGCGGATGTCAACTGGTTAATCGCACATGTCTAATCCAGTATGTGGGGTAGAGTGGGTACTTATCTCCCTACTTGACAAAGACGTCACCAGCACACCAGGATTATGTGTCAATGCAAAGAAAAGTTCAGTTATTGACTCATATTGTCACTCAATACAAGCGCTTTCGGGATGGCGCATTCATCAGACTCAGAAATGACAGAATGGTCTGATGAAAGGGACCCTGCTTAGCCCCAAAAGCGATTGTATTGAGTGACAATTTGCATCAATAAATTAGCATTTATTGTTTAAATTACAGATCATAAAGAATAGTCACCCGATCCTCGATCCCACCTGGCTGCTAGAACGGACACCGCAGTCTCTTCTCCCCTGTGCTCTTGCGGTCCAAGGACCGGTCACATCTAATACAGAGTATTAGATGTGAGGACACTGAGGAACATAACACAGCTGGAGCGGAGGGCAAGAAGGGTAAGTAGTCACTGCCGCAGGATCGAGCATCAGGTCAGTGTACTTTCTTTATTTAGTCACCTAGAGAAAAATGAGCAGTTAAAGCTTGCAGTGCGGGGGTAGCCCCGACTGCAAGGGTTAATGTTTAAAAATCCTGGAGTTCCTCTTTAAGAAAGACCATCCAGGCATATGTATAACAGTGTGTTATTCTTTTGGATGGTTGCTTTTGCAGAGAAGAAAGATGCAAGTGAGATGATGGGCAGAGAGAACAGTTTATGTTACTATACCATTTCCTTGACAGACAAATCATGTTATCTTGTGGCAGATATTTATGTGGTTTTATTTTTGAAACATTGAGAGCCTGGTTCATAAAGATAGATCATATTTATGAGATGACCTAACTTTGCCCAGACTTACCAGGAATAACATGTATAGTATCCAGCTGATTCAGTTTTCCACACTAAAGCCCACCAGGATTACACCATGTTAGTATATTTCTCCTTTACAAAGCACATCATGTGCTGAGTGGTCTGTTGCAGTAGAACACAATAAAAAGTATAGAACATTATTATTGCTAGTAAATTAATACAGTGTGGGGGAAGTGATTTGTGCATGAGTGAGCAGCAGAAACCTAGAGCTCCCGCTGCATCCCGGGGAAAACATCCACCGCCGCACAAAACTCTCTTCTTTCCCTTTATGCACAGCCTGCACTCTGATATACAACCAGGCGAGCAGAAATAGTTACCGGGCAAGGCATATTGACTTACTTCACTGTGAGAGCAAAGGCTGCAACACAATCTCCATTCACCCACCCCCTAGGCTACAGAACTTCGGAACTTTATTGCAGAACTCCAAACCCTTTTTGGATCTATACAACAGAGTCACAGATGTCTTTGAGTCTCAAATGGTTGCGTTCACCACCTAGTATGTGTCTATATTTCAGGCAATCAAAACAAACGACAAGCGCACTCAACAATTTGTCACCAGTTATACAGTAAGGTGCACACGAAATGGGCTTTGAACAGTAAAACAGTAGAAAGGCATCATGGCACACTCACAAACCAGCATGTAAAACAACTTGTCTCACCACTAAGGATAATGACAGAGGTTTGGATACACGTCTTCTGTAGAGGATGTGAAAGCCGCACTGCCGCGCCAAGGCACCTCTTATAGTGCGGTCCTAACTCTAAACTATGAGAGTCTCCATCTTGGAGCACATGGGGGCAGAAGATTTCAAATTGGGTGCAGGTTTGTCAGGAGGAAGCCCAGCCTCCTTAAAAGCACAGAAACACACAAGGGATCCCGCACATCCCAATGGCAGCTGAGAAACCCCATGCGTCGCTGCACCAAATCGGTCAAGCAAAACAAACGACAAACGCACTCAACAATGTGCGGCAGTGCGGCTTTCACATCCTCTGCAGAAGACGTGTATCCAAACCTCTGTTATTATCCTTAGTGGTGAGACAAGTTGTTTTACATGCTGGTTTGTGAGTGTGCCATGATGCCTTTCTACTGTTTTACTGTTCAAAGCCCATTTCGTGTGCACCTTACTGAATAACTGGTAACAAATTGTTGAGTTTACATGCTGTTTTGTGAGTGTGCCATGATGCCTTTCTACTGTTTTATATTTCAGGCAATGGGACAAAGTCAAAAAAACTCCCGAAGCTTTTGGGAAAACTCACATTCTACCACCAGGCCTCCTGGACTGGCTGATTGCCATGCAAATCTCTGTCCTCACCACCTATCTTCTTCGGACTGCATTGAGCTCTCTCCCCTCAGCTACCTACCTCCCAATAGGTTGCCTAATACCTTTGAGGTATTTGGCCTATCACCACTGTCCACCCCCCCAAATTGGATTAGATACCAGCTCACTCATTTTAATTCAACTTACTCATTCACAAGGGGGGTGGCATCTGTGTGCCCCCTTTGTGGAAGGGGGTACCCAGATGCAGATGAGCCCCCCCTGCCCACTGACCCCAACAACCACCGGGCCGGGGTTGTGGGGAAGAGGCCCTTGTCCCCATCGGCATGAACCCTCATAAATGCTGGTATGATGGAGGGAAGGGAGGCGCTTGCTTGTCTCCCCCTTTTCCTGCCCTGCCAGGCTGCTGCCTGGATTAAGGGTCTGGTATGGGATTTTAGGGGGGACCCCTTTTTTAAACTTTGTTGGCATTGGAGTTTCCCTTAAAATTCCTACCAGACCTAAAGGGTCTGGCATTAATTGCCTGGGGACTGCACAGTTTTGTTTTGGTTTTTTTACATCGGGGTCCCATATAACATTCCTGCCAGATCTAAGGGGGTCTGGTAGGAATTGGTGGGAGATCCCACGCTGTATTTTTTTTAA